AGCAAGTTCCGTATACTTGACTTCACAATTTATCACGGCGAATAGCAGATGCAAAAGAGACACTAAATTTTCATCTCTATATGATAGATACGTATCTGCGTATGCAAAAAATTCTAATAATTCATGAAAGTCGAAAAATAAAGAGTTAAGGATATAATGTTTGGTAATCATGTGGCAATGAGGGTGGAGATGAGCACAAATAAACATAACAAATATTCAGGAGACTTTTGACAGCTATTGCTAAACAAACTCCATTCGAAAGGTAAATATGAGGTGAGAATACCTCAAGGGCCAATGATAATTCGCCCTCAGAGTGTGACTTTTCACATTGGACAAGTACAGGACAGACAACTCAAATTATCTGAGTCTCCTGTCCCACATAAACTTTTCTACTCCCATCCCTAATAGGACACTGAGGGGTCAATTCCCTTGCTTGTACTCATAAACATCATGATGTTTGTAATGTACCACAAATTTACATCCTTATATAACACTACATGAGTGAAATGGAAGTATTCTACATACGTAATTTTGTTGATCAATGAAAATTGGAATATGTTTTGAAATTTTTCACGAGGACCGAAATCACTCTGTCTTTATATCACGGGTCACCGATGACTCTATAACCAAACAGTGAACTTTCTCAAGCCATAGATATTTCTACGTAACATCCTCTATTTATTCTTCTAATTCTATCCGTACATAGAATTCAATATGAGAGATGCTGTTATGTACATATTTTAGTTGCTGGAAATAAAATAATTCTCACTTGCCCAATATTATATGATATTTTTGTGGTATGAGATTTCTCAGAAACTAAAATCGTTACAGTCACATAAAGACTACAAATAAAATGTTCCTCGCGCCACGTTCACACCATTCTCATCTGCTGAGTGAGAGTCGTCTGTGCTAAACATGGTGTGGTAAGAAGAAAGAAATGAATTTTCACATAGAATCGTTATGTCACTTTCTTCGATTCGCTCTTGCGACAGTCGCCAAGAATGGCAATCCAGCTTTGAAGATGAGCTTTGGGGAAGACGGCACTGAACCACAAACTCATTTCACGTTCATAGTATGACACTGACGACGTCGAAATGCTCTTAAACGTAAGGCAAAAGAAGCACTGCTGCTTCACAGAGATAATGGAGGAAACAATGCGGTGATTCGTTTGCAGATGACTGCATGCAAATGCCAAAGACCAGCAAAAACATGTTCGAAATGGAGTGAAGTGTTTAATGTTATCACATTTTAACTGGAAGTGTTGCGAAGGAAAAGAACAATTTTCTACCACCCCTTCTTCTTCTCTTAATAGAAGTACAGATTTTCATCCACCACTCTATATTACATTATATAGCTAATAAAATTGAAAAATTGTGTCTTTCATCTTCACGTCACGTGTTGCCCTTTTCCCCGCCACGCAAATTACATCCCAAAGCAAGTACTCCATTATTTCCGAGCAATACGCAAGGCGAGACATAGATGGTGACGGTCTCTATAGAAGCATGGATGGTCAAGCAAAGATGGGTGGCTTAGGAAAAATCTGAGATAAAAGAATTTAATCTCTATATATTTTAAGTCGTTGAAAAACACAATTTTCTCGTCGGTTTTCCACTTAATGGGCCCTCATTTGGTGAGAAAAAATGTGGGACAGTCACTTTCTGTGGGCTGTTTTAATTCAAATCACGGTGAATTGTTATCCCTCATCCGTGTAATTCTCCAGCTTCGCCAGATTATAACTTTTTTATATCAGATAAACCATCATTTAACGGAAAAGGGTGACTCTACCAACCATTAATTCCACCCCAAAAAATCTAAATTGTCTAAACCCACTCCTTTCAATAAATTTAACTTTACTTTATGTTGTTCCAATTAGGAAACTAAAAATTTTATGGACTTATTTTGAGAAATATTACAATATATAGTTTTTCGTAACATTTACCCAAAATTAAACGACTTTTTTGCACTTACTATAATGAATATATAATAAATCGCGTAAAAAAACATTATTAAAAAGTCATTATCATTCTTAAATCTCAATTGAATCTTTTCTGAAGGAAATTGAATTAAGTAACACATAACTATATTTGAAAATTTTCCAAGTTCCTGGAAAAATAATGAAAAGTGTTAAAATGTGATATGAGAATAGGTGGATTGAAGTGGAGAAGCGAGCACAAAAACTTTCTCTTCTTTTCACTTGAAATAAAATGACACTGAAAGAACACGAGAAGAAATTAAACCCGGAAAAACACCAATGTCCAAATGCTTGCAGAAATCTCTGGAAGTAATTCAAAATTCTCACTTCCATCGGTCTCTAGTATAAAGGGAAAATGATAGAAGAAAACAAGGAGTATTTTCTAATGGAAACTTTCAAATTAAAATGAACACTTTAGTCGGTGAGAACAATCAGTATCCGAGAAGCATCTTCGAAGTGTTAATTGTTGAAACTTTTCTATTGCATTTTTAAAGTTGCTACTACTCGTCACTTTGAACAGATACTGTCTAAATGTAGGTTGAGAAGCTTCTGAAATTCTTTTAACAGCACATATTATCTCAATTGTAATCATTACACTTGCCAAAATAATTTGTTTGAGTATAAAAATTCCGCATGACATTGGATCCAATTGCATTTTCAATAACATACATATATAATGTGATAATTTAATCGCAATTATCAAAACTATTTGTTTTAATATAAAAACAGTTCATTGTGATTTTTGTTTCATGCTTCGCATTAATATAATAATAGGTCCACCCGCGATACTCAATATCCAGTGATAAAGTGTGCTCCACATTTTGAGAATTGCTCAAAGTTTGCCTCATTCCAAATACTTCTCCTCTGAGCTCTTGACTGAATTCCACTTTTTGCGAATTTATTATTAATTCCCCATCGGCGTTGCGAGGAACGACCAGAAACTTTCAAGCCTTTTATTGACAAAGTTTCACGACAATTTTTTCTGCCGTTGTCTCTGAAATATTTGCTGGCAAAAAAAGGACGCGAAAATCATTTCCGAACCGGTAGGAGGAAATGAAGTGTGTGCTGATGAAGTTGAACTGGTAGTAATGGTTTGAGACAAGGTGGAATCCATTGGATGGTTTAATGTTGTCATCATCAAAGGCAAATGGGGTGGTATAAAATTTAATGAAGGTTGTTTTTATGGGTTCTCCTTGAGCCGCCTCCTTATTCAATCATGTTATATTTGTATAAATCTTTTTTTTTCCTAACTAATGACCTTGCCACACTGAATATTTGAAGTTGACTTGAAAAAGGCGCCTCACATTTGTAAATAGCAAATTTCCGGAATTTTGGCGTATGTATACTAAAACTTTTGCCTTATTAATTGCTGAAACGTTGAGTCGTGGACTAAAATGGTTATGTTTTGGAACTTTTCTCTAAGAAATTTTTTCATGCCTAATGTTGCAATATTTAAATGGCACACCATAAAGATTATTTTTACAATAAATAAACAATGTCACAGAAATTGTGATGCTAAAACGTGACAAAAAATTAAGTGACTTTGCCACGAGACATGAATATGAAATTTCACAAGGATAAAAAATTGTTTTCCATTCAATTCCAAGCTTATTAAGTTAAATTGGGGAATTTGAAAGTTTGATAACACCCACCCCGGACTTTGTCGTCCCGAAACGTGCGCCAAAAGTATCTAATACCCAAACATTCCCAAATGGTTTACCGTTGCCGCATGATGAATTCTGTGCCCTTCCCGAATATGGAAGTGGGCGACAAAGAGAATGGGGTGTCGCCCACATGCAAATAGTAAGGTATAATTACCCCAACTTTAATTAATTGATCACATTATGTTCTGCAAAACGACAAGAAGAGAGTCTTATTTTCAAATTTCGACTCACCGGAGAATTTTGTGGTATTAAATTCACATGAGATGGATAATCCTCTTCGGTCACACTTAGCAGCTTCAGTGTGGAAATCCCAAGTAACACCCACCGAAACCCAAAGCACAGTATCTTGTCGATATTGTTGAGAGCTTCACACCATGCGTATAATTAGGGTGGGTTTTAAATTATTTCAACAGCAAGGAAAATTTATATATATGTATAGAATATGTTATATGTAATTTTATAAAGACAAAAACTCCCTATAATTTCAATCCAATCTTTTACTTATAATTCCGAATATGCTTTGTCGGGTACTGAGAATTCATAAGAGAGCAAAATTAGATACACTTAAAAGAAGATAGTTTGAATTAATTGGTTTCCAAAAATAAAAGACAGAATTTGTGACACAGAAAAGTAGAAAAACAGAGATATCACCAAGACTTGTGCTTGCAATTTTTATTTGCTGATTGCTATTTTTTATATAGATTGAATACAAATTCCCATTTTGATTTTGCCATTATACAATTACCATACATTTTTGAAGTTGATAGAAAAAAAGACTTACATTATGGGATGGTCTTTATCTATACTTATTTCACAAAGTAAAAAAAAGAATAATTTAAACTGTTCACCTAAGTACTCAATAGAAAACGGATAATAATGTTAAAGGAATGAAAATTGAAATTAATTTAATATAAATTATTCCAAATTTCATTCCAATGTAAATTATAGCCAACTTCAAGGTTTAGTTAGGAATATTTTGCTTTCGAGACTGAGTCTTTATAATCTTTATAGCATTTAAAAACCAGCATACTTATGTTACTCTTCCATTTGTACTGTGTATCTTATCGGAATCAATTTCTACACATTCGATACATTCCCAAAATTTCCGTCGGCTACATCACTATACTTGTAGGAAAATTACATCAATCTGGGCAATTACACAACAACTTTGAAAAATGTCAGCTTATTATGCAATATTCTACGTCGTTATTGTGGTGAGAGCATTACTAGTGGAATATTTTATGCACTGTTATTGAATGTTACGAATAATCTTCAATAATTCTATTTTTGTAGGAAAAAATTATTGAATTGCCCGTAAAAAATCCCGCAAAATAATTTATTACATGACTAAATATACAACATACCCTTTTAAGTGCAGTCTGGCAAAATTGAATGGATAGAAAAATGCCCCTGTGATTCAGCACTTTGAGATGATAATTCACACTTGAATCATTGACACACACTTAATCAGCACTGTCACTCACAATGTCCATAAATTTACTAAACTTTCCTTGAACCGCAGTGAAGCAATTTCTTTTCAATAATTGTGAGGGGACAGGATCACTGAAAGTATTGGGGATCAAATATAGTCAATAATGGTGTTGGAAAATCAAATTTTCTCACGATACACAAGTAATTTTACGAGTGAAAAATCTAGCGGAGATTTCCACGAAAACACCTCGACAAAAGCGCGAGCAGCATCCAACTGGATGTGAAGTGGAAATTTCTTACTTTAGTCCCATCATCACCCCAACGCAGCTTTTTCGTGGAGTTTGCGCATAGTTAACTGGGGTTCTCATCACCACCGCAGCAATTGTACACCCTTCCACGGAGTACATCACACCATCGAACACAGGCAAAAGTGTGTACGCAACGTGCAGAATTCGCAAAATCTCAACAAATTTGACTTGTATATAAATATAAATTGGATAAATTTATAATGTGTGCCAAAAAGCCGCTTCCACGACGTCCTCTTCCCGTGTACCTGAGAATGGTGTCAGAGCCGAAGGTATGTATGTAGGATAAATAATAACACTTTTTGGCTTATAGGGAAACTGGGTGATAAGACGGGGCGATTAATTAATTAGACTTCGCACCTGTTAATTATAGACGCATACTTATGTCAACTGGCAGAGTGATAATGATGGGATTACCTGTGAAGAATTGTGTGTGGTACTAGAGATAATAATTAAAAAGCACCTTGTCAGCCGAGCTGAAAATCATATATTCCAGGTTGGAAAATTCTTTTTAATATCCCTTTATCCTAAGTGATATCATATCTGCGCAATTTTACATGTAATTTTATCATTTTTACCTCCCAACTTTGCATTCTGACATTTCAATAAACTTATTTCCGAAATTAGGTTCCAAAGACCAAATGTATGTATACGAGTGTTTTTAAAAACAAAAAACCATAGGAAACATATGTTTATTTAGTTATATGGGAAAAAAGATAGTTGACCAACAATAGTGACTAATTTTAAACAGTCTACTAATTTAGTCTAAATAATGCGAAAGTATTCAAGCTTCTTTTAGGATTAAATGCTTGTATACTTTCTCTATTTAGTGCATATTTAAGTGTTTTTGCTTATTTTTTCCTTTCAAAAACTCAGCATTTACATTACTGAATTATGAAAATCATTTTAGTGATTATGTGGAAGCATAAATACTCACACCACCTAAACGCAAAGGAGACCCGTGGATGATGGGGCGCTGAACCACTATGACTCTGTCATCGCGCATTTGCCCTGCAAACCCCACTCTCTATGCCATGTCCTCTTTAGCTTACTCTCGCGTGAAGAAGACGTCTTGTCTCTTCCTTCTCTGGCGAACTGCCGAATCGTAGCGAGGGCCACGAATAGAAGGAGGTACTCTCATGCGCGCCTATTTTTGCACTGGGCGTAGGAGTGAGATGCTACAAATATTAAAAAAAAAAATCACTTTAGGTATATTTTTCTAATTAAAAATCGTATTTAAACCACTTAGTCCAAACATTATATTTTTCTTAATTGAGTGTGGAATCTTAAGAGGCCACTGTGGTCAACACGTAACAACCGCTCAATTTAAGCTAGCATTTAAGTATTTTCGACCCTTGTGACCAATTATTTTGACTATATGTTTGTATGTGTGTTTGCGAGGGTGTGTGGTTTCCTCAATCTGATTACTCACCTGAATGTGGGTCAGTAGATACGGGTGGTTGTAGGTATGAATAAGATCAACTTGCCACTTTTGTGCGTGTACAAGCTATGGGTATGCCGAAGAAAAGGCATGAATGAAGAGAATTTGCACATCTTCTACCGTGACAGTGGGTGAAAAAAACACTTTGTCCCGCAAAGATGACGATGTCGAGGTTGAAGGTTTCCCATCCAACAATGCCACTTCATCCTCCGAATGATGGCGCTTAAGAAGAAAGTTTCGAAACTTCACAATAGGCTACCCACCCTCGATTTTTAGAGCCACCACCTCGCACACATAAGTATGTATTTCTTATCCCAATTTCCTCTATTGTACGTCGAAAGCTATGTATATATTGAAGCATTACTATATAGTCTTCGAATTCTCGATGCTATTTTGGCAGCAATCTCCACCGAAAAACCCCACCCCCCAAGTCTGTAATGGCATGAATGTGTGTGAGCTTGAATATACGGCAAGTTTTCGTCACGCGGTGTCAACTCGAGTTGGAAGAAGAAGTCAAATGTGGTGTCTTCGAGATACAGAGGCCAAAGCATTCCATCGAGCTCCTTGCTGCGAGCACGATTCCCTCCGAGATACCGAATTGACTTTCATAAATCACGCTTTTTGGACTTATTTTTTCCCATTCGTTTGTTTTGTGTTGTTTCGATAGTCTAACATATCCAGGCGAGTGGTTGAAAGATGACATGACGACGAATGGACATGAAAACTTGATTTTACTGAACTCATTGCACGCTCAATCAATCAAAATGACGGCTTTTTACACAACATGCCACAGTAATACACGAAATAATAAATTTACTCTCAACTGTATCAATTTGAAAGTTTTTAAAACTACATCAACCACCCATCTCCCATCCTTTGCATTCCAACTCTCCCAATCCTGCTGTTGTTTTATTTACAAATCATGATTTTTACGACTTTTTAACAGACTCGCTATTTGGTACTTTTATGCTAGTTTATTGCTATGTCGATAAGCTTGATAAACCATTACAATGGATATATAGTTAGGCATGAGTTCAACTATTCTCACCTCACTTTTTCTCTTCACGATGTACATAGGTTGCTGCACAATACTTTAGACCAGAACAAATTTTTGAGACTGAATACATTCAACTTTTTTTCTTGATTCTCCTTTCTGTTTCAAACCATATCATGAGAGTGGTTATTAAACATCGGTCTTTATTAAACTTGTTAAAAAAAAATTAAGAAACATCGAAAGTATGTATACAGTTAAATTGGCCTCATTCCGGAAATATCGAAGGGTCACGGCTATTAACATTTCTTTTCAAAAAAATTATTCGAAATTTTCGAAAGCTCAAGACCTTAGCTACATACATAACTTCAAATGTTTAAAATTCTACGACAGTTACAATGCTCTAGAGCATTTTAGAAGTCCTATTTCGATGAAGTTTTATCCACTGAGCTCTCAAGTGTAGCTATGAGTAAAAATTAAACCCTCGCTTATTTACATGGATGGAATGTGCCTATATTTGTGATATCTGTTGAATGGAGCAATTTCTATTTGGTCCATTTATCCTCCTTTTCCGATTCACACTGTTGCGATACAGTTTGTTTTAATTCTCACTGAAATCAATCTGATGCCATTTTGCTTGCAAAAGACTAAAATATTGCTTTACCTATCCAAATTGTTCAATACAATTGTTAACACAAAGTGGAATGGAAGTCAATTACGTTGAATTAAAATTTTAACTCACATAAAATATATTCATAAATTTCAGGAAATGTGAATTTATTTTAATGAGCTAGATATGTCAGAAATTATTGGAAATTTACTTGATTGCTTCTTTTGTAATATATTTTTTATTTCCACGAAGTGACATTAACTATTATCAACAAGACACCTCAGTCATTTACAAAAAATTGTGAAGAGTTTCACTAGAATTTTTTTTTAACGATCGATGTTTTTGTAATAATTAAAAATTTTAGAATTAATAAGTGTATAAAATTTATACTTACAAAGGTGTAAAGAGTGTGTAGCATTTGTATTAAATACATGTTGTTTATTATAGAGCAAACAGCTTCCATCTTCACATAGTTAATATCGTAATTCATTGTTTTACATAATCTGATGAAAATATATGCGTATATCATAAAATATCGAAACGTCATTAGCAATAACATACCTGCTTTCGATTCAACTTCAATTCCTATCAGGAAGCCTATTATTATTATAGATGGAGAATAAAATTGACTTTGTAGAATTTGTAGTATTAATTAATTAATAAAATTATTAATTTGGTTGACAATATTAGCAAAATAGCATTGTAGCAAAATAGTAGAGTAAGTGAAACAAAAAGTTTAAAGAATATGTGCAGTCAGTAAATTAGTATTCTATAACGGTAACAGTTTGATGCTGTAAGATGAAAGTTTGATAGACAGATAGACAGACGTAAAACACGCAGAATTTACCATCTGAACAAGTGCTTGAACCCTTCATCAACCCTCAAACAACCTCTCACAAATATAAATGGCCACCAACGCCACAGCCACATGAATCTCTTCAGTAGTAAACCTGATTTACGATGTATAATGTACTACATCATCACGATATCTAAATACAATATATGTAATGTATGTACATACATACATACACTAAATGCCTCGACGAGTAGTAGCAACCAAGCACAAAATTACTCGTCCTATATCGCCCATGTATGCAAACTCTCGGTTCACCATCGTGTACACATTCCTAATGGTGACGGCTAGCAAATTACTATTAACTCTCAACGCAATAAACTATACTTTCGTTGCATATTCAAAAAATTTTTATTTTTTCAGTGACACACAAATGTAATATGTTATTCATAAAATAAAATAAAACAGCCCAGAAGAGATGTTTTCTTTAGGACGTAAAACAGATAAAAATCACACTCATGTTTTCTTAAATTTTAAAATTTGTAAGAATCGTTATACTTTGATTGGGAAATTTGCAACATTTTTGTATTTCTCTTTATTCAACTACATATTAACAGTGGAGCTGTGAAGATTAAAAAAAATTGTGTCGATGAATATCTTCTCAAATCAGGAGTATTCTGAGACAATACGTGACGTAAGAACTAAGTGAGTTTTGTCATTTTAAAAAAAAAGCTGCAATTGAGAGAAACATAAAACGAAAAAGAAACAAGGATTCATCCTCCTGTCTAATATCAATACAAATACTTTTTCTCATAAAACACAGCGACACGACGATAATGAAATTTTATTGCATTATGTGTCTTCAATGCGCATTCAATAGAGTTTTGTAAAACATGAGAAGAGAATTAAATACGAAACACATGGGAGGGTGGTAAGTTTCACTTCGGGTTGCATTTTCTTATTGTTTGCCAGGAACTTTCTGTAGAATGCAGTTTCAAACGATAGAGCTTTAGGTTTATACACATGTGCACGTTGAGAATTGCATTATAGAAAGTACAACAATCAGAAGTCTACCGATAATGCCAACTTCAATTCTCGGATATATAACAAAAAATA